CCATGTACATGTCGACTTATCTTTACTTAAAAAAACATCCCAGAATTGCACAAAAATGGCATTGCGCACACTCTTCACTATATCCATGTACACTGCTTTTTTCTCATAAATTAGAAAAATTTCACGAAAATACATGACAATTTTCTCAATCTTTAAACCCGGTAAAAAGAACATATATGAAATTACCTGATCGCGAAAAATTATTTACCCTTTCCAAATATGAACATTTCCACATATAAAATAAATAAAGGTACTTTTCCGTTTTGCCAGCGCAAACGATAAATTCGCCATTAATGGTACAACTGATGTCAAACGGAATATCTTCGCTGGTAACCCTTTTACGCCTCCTTTTTAAAACACAAATACCCATTTCGTACCAGATTGATTGCTCTTTTCAATACTGGCATACAATTACAGAGAATATTTACAAAGATAATTAAATTTTATGCCCTAAGACAATTCGCGGTAATTAAGTCAATTGGATGCAATCACATCGCTCAACCGAAGGCGAAAATATAGAAAAAACAAAATCAAGAGTTAAATTCATTCATTCTAATGAGAATGCACTAGCGAAGTAAAGCACTACGGTTTTACATAATTTCTGAGTAAGCTATTAGTACGAATTGAAATAATTCTTGCATTTAAACTTTTATTCCAAATTAAGATTTAACTTGAAATTAATGTAAATAATTACTGAGAGAATTAGATTTTTGTAGCGTAGTTTACGCGAGTTGAGATCAATTTAAATGATGAAACCATATTAAAATGTTTATGGCTTCAAAATCAAAAATTATTAGAACTAACATTTGTTAATATTTTTTCTGTTTATACTGTATGTTGTCGCCAACAAAGTCTGCTTGGCGACATTTGCGCAGGCGAAACGGAAAAGTACCTAAATAAAATATCCAAAAACTTTTACCTCTAAATCATCTATTACATTATACACGTCACCAACGAATTCATACCAGAAGCATTACAAATACTTAGTATCAAATATTTAAATTATTTCCATGCACGTTTACTTCAACTTAAACGTGTACCAAATTCCTACAAACATAAAATTCACAAAGTAACTATCATTTAATTAAAATATCACTAAACCATGTACACGTCGACTTATTTTTACTTAAAAAAACATCCCAGAATTGCACAAAAATGGCATTGCGCACACTTTTCACTATATCCATGTACACTGCTTTTTTCTCATAAATTAGAAAATTTTCACGAAAATACATGACAATTTTCTCAATCTTTAAACCCGGTAAAAAGAACATATATGAAATTACCTGATCGCGAAAAAGTATTTACCCTTTCCAAATATGAACATTTCCACATATAAAATAAATAAAATATCCAAAAACGTTTACCTCTAAATCATCTATTACATTATACATGTCACCAACGAATTCATACCGCAAGCATTACAAATACTTAGTATCAAATATTTGAATTATTTCCATGCACGTTTACTTCAACTTAAACATGTACCAAATTCCTACAAACATAAATTCACAAAATAACTATCATTTAATTAAAATATCACTAAACCATGTACATGTCGACTTATCTTTACTTAAAAAAAACATCCCAGAATTGCACAAAAATGGCATTGCGCACACTCTTCACTATATCCATGTACACTGCTTTTTTCTCATAAATTAGAAAAATTTCACGAAAATACATGACAATTTTCTCAATCTTTAAACCCGGTAAAAAGAACATATATGAAATTACCTGATCGCGAAAAATTATTTACCCTTCCAAATATGAACATTCCACATATAAAATAAATAAAGGTACTTTTCCGTTTTGCCAGCGCAAACGATAAATTCGCCATTAATGGTACAAACTGATGTCAACGGAATATCTTCGCTGGTAACCTTTTACGCCTCCTTTTTAAAAACACAAATACCCATTTCGTACCAGATTGATTGCTCTTTTCAATAATGGCATACAATTACAGAGAATATTTACAAAGATAATTAAATTTTATGCCCTAAGACAATTCGCGGTAATTAAGTCAATTGGATGCAATCACATCGCTCAACCGAAGGCGAAAATATAGAAAAAACAAAATTAAGAGTTAAATTCATTCATTCTAATGAGAATGCACTAGCGAAGTAAAGCACTACGGTTTTACATAATTTCTGAGTAAGCTATTAGTACGAATTGAAATAATTCTTGCATTTAAACTTTATTCCAAATTAAGATTTAACTTGAAATTAATGTAAATAATTACTGAGAGAATTAGATTTTGTAGCGTAGTTTACGCGAGTTGAGATCAATTTAAATGATGAAACCATATTAAAATGTTTATGGCTTCAAATCAAAATTATTAGAACTAACATTTGTTAATATTTTTTCTGTTTATACTGTATGTTGTCGCCAACAAAGTCTGCTTGGCGACATTTGCGCAGGCGAAACGGAAAAGTACCTAAATAAAATATCCAAAAACTTTTACCTCTAAATCTATTACATTATACACGTCACCAACGAATTCATACCAGAAGCATTACAAATACTTAGTATCAAATATTTAAATTATTTCCATGCACGTTTACTTCAACTTAAACGTGTACCAAATTCCTACAAACATAAATTCACAAAGTAACTATCATTTAATTAAAATATCACTAAACCATGTACACGTCGACTTATTTTACTTACTTAAAAAAACATCCCAGAATTGCAACAAAAAATGGCATTGCGCACACTCTTCACTATATCCATGTACACTGCTTTTTTCTCATAAATTAGAAAATTTTCACGAAAATACATGACAATTTTCTCAATCTTTAAACCCGGTAAAAAGAACATATATGAAATTACCTGATCGCGAAAAAAGTATTTACCCTTTCCAAATATGAACCTTTCCACATATAAAATAAATAAAATATCCAAAAAACGTTTACCTCTAAATCATCTATTACATTATACATGTCACCAACGAATTCATACCGCAAGCATTACAAATACTTAGTATCAAATATTGAATTATTTCCATGCACGTTTACTTCAACTTAAACATGTACCAAATTCCTAAAAACAAATAAATTCACAAAAATAACTATCATTAATTAAAATATCACTAAACCATGTACACGTCGACTTATTTTTACTTAAAAAAAAATCCCAGAATTGCACGAAAATGGCATTGCGCACACTCTTCACTATATCAATGTACACTGCTTTTTTCTCATAAATTAGAAAAATTTCACGAAAGTACATGACAATTTTCTCAATCTTTAAACCCGGTACCAAATTCCTACAAACATAAAATTCACAAAATAACTATCATTTAATTAAAATATAATTAAATTCAAAAACACTACTTAAAATATAAATGAGCACATACATTAAATTAATACATACATAAATACCCATTTCGAATTCACTTTAGTTACGGCTATGGGATGCAAAAATTCACGAACACTGTTTCACACACAACACAGAATAAAGCCAAATACAAAAATTTCCAGATTTTTTCCCGATTTCCCCCCTTTTCCGATTAAAGAACTGTAATTCGTCCATTAATATCACATGACATATCCCATGATCTCTCATTCCCTCACACAAAATAATGCGTAATCGGAACTGAGTACTGCTCATTATTATCAAAGTCCCAGGTAGTAACCTTTATCGCCTCCAAAATGTCGCCAAACTACCAGTTACCATATTGTAAAGATCAACCATCCTAGCTAGTAACCTTTACGCCTTACCAAAATGTCGCCACACTACCTGTTACCATATTCCAAAGATTAGCCGGATTATCATCTGTGCATACTATATTTGAAACACATACCCAACCTTCAACTCTCCTCTTCAGGGCGCTGTATCTCTCTCGCAACTGATCAGCCATCAGTTTGTATTGATCTCGTTCTGAACGGCATTGCTCTAGTTCATGGCTTAATATTAAGAGAGAGTCTGTTTTGCATTCTAATTTACACTTCAAAGTGTTAAACTAAAAAGAGAGGTATGTTTTATACACAAGTATTAAAAACATAGATCAGGTTTTGAAAACATATTATTAAAATATAAATTTGAAACTCTAACAAAATTTATCATGCCAATTTATCACATTATCAAATTCTAACATAATTTATCAGCATGAAACAAATGCAGCTTAATTTTATTAATGAATTCTAGAAAACATTCTCAAATAATTTTGAGGCTTGAAAAATGAAATAAAAATTTTGAAGATAAATACGCATTATGAATAACAATAATAATAACGACATTTTTCTTTCTGAATGAGCAAAAAATGAGTTAATAAATATAAATGCGTTAATAAATTAATTAACATAGTTTTATTGTACCTCAGTAAGAAGAGAAAGATAATCTTCTTCTAATTTTTGGAACTTCAGAGCCATGGCAGAATTTATTTGGATTTAAAATTCCCTGCTACGCAAATAAAGATCATCAAAAACGTCTGAAATACGAAAGCCAAGTTCAAAACATCAGCATTTGTGAATTTCAAGCAGGAAAAATATAAGATATTGCATCGCATAGATGTGAGCTGACATATACTAGTAGCATCTTTTGTGGGATCACCTTTAGGGATATACATATAAAGCTCAATGTTTTGTAACACATATCTCCCGACACATATTTGTTAGTTTTCCTTTAAAAAACATATTTCTGATTCCCTTCGGAAGCAGACAAATTTAACAGCTGTTACATTAATGTGGTTGAGTTGCGCTCCGTTTACCCTTTCTTCAGCGCAAGATTATTTTTAATAAACAAAAGAATTATTCTACTATATCATTATTATCAGTTATTGAAATTATCTATTACTTCTTTTATTAACATCCTGAAATTTTCACAGCTATTTTAAGAAAAAAAAAAAAAAACTTAAACAAGAAAATGCATACTGTTAAAAGCATCCTGATTTTAACTCAACGCAACTAATGTTTTGATTTTTGTTGTTATGATGGCAGCTGTAGCAGAAGACGGCGATATAGAAAATTCAGTTCCTCAAATATTCACTCATAAAATTATTATAATTGGAGCTGGTATCGCCGGTATATCTGCTGCACACCATCTAGTTAAAAGTGGTGAAACAGACTTTAAAATATTAGAAGCTAGAAATCGAATAGGTGGTCGTATAATTTCTATTCCTATGGGCAAGTATTTCTGAAATTCTCCCTAAGCAGTAGTCAGCATTTGATAATGTTTATATCTCTTTTTCCTGCTATCGTAACATTCTTTCTTCTGCTGTCATAACATGTACTTCTGTTAATCTGTCTACAAAGTAATGGATACTATGATAGTATAATAAATCCATTTCATCATAAAATGAAATGAAAATAAATGATTTCTCCTTGAAGCAAGTTATTTTCAAATGTTAACATTATAAGGCTATGTTGTGAATTATTTAGATGGAAACAAGTGTAATTTTTCTCTGCTTTTTTTTTTTTTTTTTTTTTTTTTTTATTTTAGTATGGATTGTTATTTAAAAACCGAGGATCCATACAATAGTAAATTAGCCTTTAAAAACAATATGCTAATTTAGAATGGTCATACAAAAAATTATTGTCAAACTTTTTTTTAAATACAATTTTTCACGTTCTTTTTCAATGGTAAATTTTGTTAGCAGGTTGGGTGAATCTGTATATATTTTATAAGTTTATATGAAATTTCTGCTTTAATGAAAATAAAGAATATTTTTAATGGGGTTAATAATTTTCTAATCACAAATTACAATATGGGTTCTTCTGAGTTTGATATAATAATGTAGATTCCTTTCCAATTTCAAATGAATTTTCTATGAGGATACAATATGATCTCTTAAATTTGCAATAACATTGCATATCACCATCTGAAGCGATGTAAAGATTACTTATATATTAATCTTCCTATTTGTGAAAGTTATTGAATTATTAATTACAAAAATTCTTGTTATACTTTCAACATAAAGTGGAATTATTATTAATTATTAACCTGTAATTAATAACCTTGTAGTATAATAGCTTGATTCACATAAATAGTTGAAGGGCACAAAAAATTTTCAGAAAGTTTGTTTAAATCCCTCATAGCCACATGTGATGATTTTTTCTTTTAATTTCAGTAAATCACTTTCACTGTTGTGTTACCCTGAGTTTTAAGAATATCACAGGAAATGTTGTTATCTCTGTTGAATGAATACAAGGAGACGTCATTTCATCACATATGGATGTGCGTCTTTTTAAATATTATTGCTTTTTAGAAATGCATGTTATTCTGAATAAAATTGTTTCTAAAAAAATTCTTACCTTTCTATTATGTATAGGAAATATTTTATTTTCTAAGCTCCTCGATAAGGAAATGAATCTAATTATTCCAAGCATACAAGAGCCTAAGACGTAGAGTGCCTTTGTGAAGAATATTTAAGGGGAATTCGTATTTATATTATACATGAGGTAAAACTATGAACACCCATGCAGCCAATCCATTCGCTGGGATCTGAACCTAGGTTGAACTATAAGCATTCAGCCATTTTATTGTTTATCTACTGGTGGGTGCAAGATCTTATTATGATATTGTATGGCATACAGTCAGTATGCTGTGGTCTTTTTTGATTGCAAAAAACTGTGCTAGGGATCTTCTTGGCAGATATCTGGGTTCTGAAACTGTGAGATTGGGAAAAATCTGCTATTTTTCCACACCATGCTACCTTATTTCATTAATTGGTTATGTAAGGGAAACCGTGTTTAATCTCCTGTAACTAGGTATGAATAAATTTTTATCATTTGAATTTCTTGGCGAGCAATTCTGAAAGCATTTCTTATCTAGTGCTTTTTCATGTCTGGCTTCAACACGCTGAGTACCCATGTGTTACAACTTTGAGGTACCTTTCTTTGCAGATCCCCAATTTTCCTTCCTTTGACCCAGTGCCAGTGCTCATGCTCATTTCTTTATTTTCATCATTTTTCTGTTTTCCATCTCTTCAAGTTTAGTTCACATTTTGATAAATGTCAGCGTGTGTGTTGATGCTAACTTAGAAAGATACTGTATCACCATAGACTGCAACCATGAGTATTTATTGATATATACTTTCTTTTGTCAAAAATTCAATCACCAAACATTATCTGGTATTTTCAGTGTTAAAAAACATTGTTGACTAACATTTAATGTTAAGTAATTTTAAATATTAAGTAACAATACCTGCTATATTCATTATCTTTTTACACTTACAAAGGATGTAGCTTTTATTTCATTTAGTATAGAACTGTGTTTTGAACTGTATCGTACATAAAAGCACTTTCAGTAATAGTGTTTATTATCTATTTTTTTTAAACATGATATTTAGAGTTTTTAAATAAACGCTAAGCTAATACTAGTAATATTTCCAATTCTCTACTTTCATTGATTTTATTGGTAGTGTATGAATTTTCATTGATAACATTTTTTATGTAATTATTTTGGCACCAAAGAGGCATTCTCGTTCTTATTGAAATTTACTTCTATTTTCTGTACTTTTTTTTTACTGTGGCTTTATTTACTTTTCCTTGTAGCCATTCAGTATATCATTCTCATGCAACTTTGAATATGGTTTCTTAGTTGTGTAATAATGATAATCAGAAGTAAATATAATAAAAAATTTGCTGAAATGAATTCAGAAACTTTTTTTGGCTAATCTTTGGAATATGGTAACAGGTAATTTGGCGACATTTTGGTAAGGCAATAAATGTTACTAGCTAGGACTTTAGCAGTGTACATGGATAAAGTCAAGAGTGTGCGCAATGCATTTTTGTGCAATTCTGGGATGTTTTTTTAAGTGAAAATAGGTCGATGTGTACATGGTTACCGTGTATGTGCAATTCTTAAAAACGCTGCAAGCAGTTTGCGATTCTGCACTTTCTCCCAATTTCGCACCTAATCTTCGTCATGATTAAGCACTTTTGTTCCATAAAAGTTCTAGCATAAGCGTAATTTGGCTAGCAGATTGTTGAAAAAAAAAAAAAGTTGAGTAAAAAAAAATTGCCTTTACTTTGTGAAAACAAAATGGCGTCTAAACAAAAACTAGCAGGTTGCTGCTGCAGGGTTGGTCGCCAAATTATTGCCAAAAAATCGCCAAGTTACCATAATCCAAAGATTAACCCTTTTTTATATATAAATTTTATTTAACATTTTTCGTAAGGCAAAAACATGTTGAAATGGCCATTTGGTGAAGTTTACACTTATGCACAGAAAACACATGTTGGTGCAGCATAAGGGGCTGCATCCAATTTTCATGATAAGAATTTTTTTGGAAGTGGTGGAGTATCTTTTGTGGCCACATTGTAGTTCTTTTACAGTTGGTATTTTGAAATAGCTATTAAATGCTGCAAAAGAAAATCTGACATCTCACCAGAAATGATAGTTGATTGGTGTAATAATATGTGTAAAGCTATGAGCTTTCTGTTTGGTGATGAAGATGATTTCAAGGTGAAATTTAAAAATAAATCTGAAGGCTTTAAGATTTTATATTATGCCCAAAGGGGCTTTTCTTTAATGTTTGTGTGTTACATTTAATTATTAAATGTCATGTTCTTCGCTCTTAAAACATAAAATTCAATTCAACAGCAATATCACAAAATATTTAAAAGAGCATATCTTTAGAATTTCCGATACACAGTCTTGCACGCTGGAGATAATTTTTTTTTTTTTCCCTACAGTGTTGCCATTGCTTGCTTTGAAATCATTGTGTTTCTTATTAAAAAACTCATAAATGCTTTACAAAATATGAAATAGATAATAATACAAATTTTAAATTTGGGCTTCCAGATGCCCATATTGAGGTGGAGACGTACATTATTCAAAATTGGATGGCTCTAAGTACCATTGTTTTTCACAATCCAAGAAACATACATACATTTATGCAAGATTCTTCATTATTAAATTTCTTTAAATATAATACATGGCTCTAATATTTAATGGCAACAATTTCAAAACTGATTCACCATTTATAGTGAATCAACGCAGAATGCCAAAACAAAATTAATAGTCCTTCTAGTTAAATTGCCCCTTTGGGGCTAATTATAGAAGTTAATGGAAACTTCTTTTCTATCTGAAAGAAAAGTACTTTCCGTTTGTCACCAAGAAAATGTGACTGAATAATCATAAATGTGGGTATGGTGTGCAGCTGTGCATGTACATACAGCATTGAAAATCTTCCTATGATAAACCTGTGTGGAATGAATTTATTGTACTTGGATTAAATAAATTTTAAAGTTTTTTCAAATGATGGTCACTAATTTAAGTGTTGTTCAGTAGTTCTGTAACAGGAATTGACATTTTATTGCATTCTATAATGGCTGAATTACTGCATGAGTAATAATTATTTTTAATTTCAAGTATTTTAGATTTTTGCTCATGTTTAATTATTTTTAATTTCAAGTATTTTAACATTTTGTTGATACTGATATTTATATTTTGTGTATGTTGAATGGTAACTAGCAAGTTATTTGTAATGATTTTGAGTTTGCATTTAAATTCTTTCGCTCATGTCATTCTAAGTAGCTGCACCCTTTTTTTTTTTTTAATTAAACTTAGCTATTGAATAGTGATTCTTGCTATTTTCTAACTTCTAATAAATTTTGAATACCAGTAATCAACTGCTAAAACTCTATTAGATGTAATCCTGCAAAAATTCATCCACATTTTAAACACATGAAACGTTGCTTTATTTTGTATGAAATTATATATATGTTACTGGCAAAGTATGAAATATGGCATTCTATAGAATACCTAGGTATTTTACAGAATGCTGAAAATTGACCAGCAATCTATGAAACGATTGACTATTTCACACATTGACTAGGCATTCTATAGAATGACACGTGACAAACTGTCAAAGTTTGAAATATATTTCCAATTTGTTTCAAATATCATATGGCAAAGCATTTGACTTTAATTCCTCCACTCAGATTTAGAATTTGCATTTTCCATCTTTTTAGGGAAGTGGGAGCATCGATATATGCATCCTCTGCTCAGGTTCAGAATTTGCTGTTTGCATGTAGCGCTTTGTCGGCAATGTCAGAATACAAAATTTTGCTTACACATTCGTTCAAAAAAAATTAGTATTTTACATGAAAATTGAAGAGCAAGGTATAGTATAGAAGAAAGAGTCACAGTCGATAGATGTGCAATGACAATTCGAAGATGGACTGTCTAAGCTTTGAGTTAGTGTTGCAAAGAACAGTTTGTTCTCTACCAAAAATACTAACCAGAAGTTAATAAAATGTGCAAAAAATGCCAACTATGGGACTAATGGTTGCTGAATCACTATGATGTGACATTTGTGCAGAGCAAAAGTAAACTCATTTATTCTGTTAAAAAAAGCTTGAGTACTATTATAGTATTACATTGTGAACATTGTATAATGAGTCATTGCATGTACTTCATAAAGCTCATGTGGCTATTGGTCATGGAGGTTGTGACAGAATGTTGAAAGAAATTTCAACCAAATCTAAAAATGTTACATGTAATGATACTGTACTGTACACCCACCTTTGTGAAGCCTGCCAGGAAAAACAAAAAGGTATTAAAAAGAGCATTGTTATGAAATCTATGATTTTTCTGAATTCCCTTTGTCAGGTAGATCTTATTGATTTCAATCTAGATAGAGAATACAAATTTATTTTAGTATATCAAAATCATCTTACAAAATTTGTGATTCTGAAGGCTGCGACATCAAAAAAGAGCAAAAGAAGCAGCCTGGAAAGTAGTGGACATATTCTTGTTGCTTTTGGTTCCATCTATATTGCAATTTGACAATAGTAGTAAATTTGCCAATAATGTGGAGCTTGAAGGAGTTAGGGCCAGCACAGAAGATCGTCAATGGGAAGCTTGTCATTCACAAAACGAGGTTGGTATGGAAAGAGCTAATCAAGATATTAAAAATATATTTAGTACATGGATGCAGGACAACAAATCTGACAGTGGAGTGAAAGACTGCACTTTGTTCAATTTATGAAAAACAAAGCTTATCATTTTGGAATCTAAAGCTGTTTTTGGCTGCAAACCTAAAGTAGGTCTTACAACTTCTTTTCTATCTGAAGATATTTGAAAAGACATAAATATGGAGCAGCTAGAAAAATAATAGAAAGCATCCAAATGATGCAAAAAGATGAAACAAATCAGCTTATGCAAGGATCATGCAATCAGCTTATCCATTTGTTGATGGATGAGGTTATAGTCACTGGTGGGTTAAACCAACATGGTGATGACATAACTTGCCTAAAGAGCATTTGTCATTCTGCAGAATGCCTAGGTAAAGTGTGTACTAATTCTCATATGTCATACTTTGCCTAAAAGGACTGGTCATTTTATAAAATGCCTAGGTATTCTGTAGAATATCAACATTTCATACTTTGCCAGTACCATTTATATTTTAAATCAAGTTTTGAAAATTTTTATTCCAGATTCTGTTCAATTATGTTATTGAAATATGATTTGTATCCGTTTTCATAAACATCTTATAAAAAACATCTTTTTAACTGCATAAGCATATATCATGACAATCTGTTATTTCTTCTGTAGGATCTGATTGTGTAGATCTTGGTGCCAGTTGGATTCATGGAGTTCTTGGTAATCCTGTGTATGAATTGGCTGTTGCAAATGGTTTGATCAATCTAACAAGTGATCAAAATCCACATACTATTGTTGCTACTACAGAAGATGGAAAAAGAGTTCCAATTTCAATAGTTGAAGAAGTATATAGTGCATATTTTTGGTTCAGTAAAAGATGTGAAGAATATTTTTTATTACATTTGCATACTCCTCCTCATATTGACAGTGTTGGCAAACATTTAGAAATGGACATTGCTGCATATTTACAGCAGTATCATGGTGATGATGCAAGCATGCGTAGGATGGTCTTTGACCATCTTCTTAACCGTGAAACATGCATCACTGGTTGTAATTCAATGCATGACACAGGACTTAGTGATTTTGGTAGCTATACTGAATTACCTGGTGGCAATATTAGTGTTCCAGGAGGCTTTCATTTAGTTATAAAATTTCTTTCAGACATTTTACCAAAGGATAGCATTAGATTGCAATCTGAGGTAAAGCATATTCATTGGAAAATGAAGCAAGTTTCATCAGGTGAGGTTAATGAAGGACAGTGCTCAAATAAAGAGAACTCTACTCATCATGTAGTTATAGAATGTGAAGATGGCTCAAAATGGTTTACAAATCATGTAATAATTACCTTTCCTTTAGGTGTGTTAAAAGCAAAAGCTGAAGAAATCTTTGATCCCAAATTACCAGACTATAAAATGGAGTGCATAGAAAAATTGAGCTTTGGAGTAGTGAATAAAATATATTTAGAGTATGATAGGCCTTTTTTAAATTCTGAAATTTCTGAAGTTATTACATTATGGAAAAGGACAGAAGAAAGTGACATGAGTAAAATTTGGTTTAGGAAAATATATTCTTTTAGTCGATATACTGAAAATGTACTTCTTGCTTGGGTATCTGGCAATGAAGCTGAATATGTAGAAACACTGTCTGAAGAACAAGTTGCAAATACTTGTACTGACATACTAAGAAAATTTCTTAATGATCCATATATACCAAGGCCTTGTAGAGTAGCATGGTAAGGAATTTTGATTTTTCTTGTTTCTTTAATAAATTACTTGTTAATTTTGTAAACATTTATAAATCTGACTGCATAAAATTATGTAGCTATGCTGCAAATAATTATCAACATTAATCCGTAATACTTTACATATAGCAAACATATACATTGTGCCTCACATATGCTGTCTATTCCAGGATAATATTCATAATGTGAATTGTTTTATTCTAGACACTATTCTCCCTAGTTTACTACAGGAATATTTTTAAGGTACTTATGCATTTGTACAATTGTTTTGAAGAGATTTGCTAATTTTTTGCAGAATAAAAAGAATGATAGCTTAAAATTGTCAAGCATTTTTTTTTTTTTTTTCCTTTACGTACATTCATGTTTTATGTTTTAGTTAGATATTTATCCCAAATATCAATTTATAAATACACTTACATATTCTATTCTAGCAGGAATTTTACCACAATTTCTTCTGTTTGAGACAAATCTCGTTAATGCATTATTTTCGCATTAAGATAAAAATATCATGATTTGTTTAAAATCTGTAGGAATTTTGAATATAGCAGAAAGAAAGCATATGGAAATGTTGGCATTATTTGTTAAAACTAAAAGAAATGCAATGTGTATAGTTGCCTGAAGAACTGATATGCTTATGGTTACCAGAGTTAGCACATTCTGAAAAGTTACTAGATTTAGGCACATTATGAAAATTTGATGACTTCCACTCATATGATTGTACTAATATATAAATACCAATTTAAATTCATTTCCAAGCCCAATTTAAAATAGAAATACATTGTAAAACATTTAAAAGAACATTGGAATGCCTAGAATTTACTCATTTATTAGAGTTCCTTCTGATTATCCAGACCCCATTCACAAGACAATTTCAGTGGCAACCCAAGTTCTGGATGCTCTGCAAAAAGTGAACACATATTTCCACCTTCAAATTGAAGGGTTTTTTTTTTTTTTTTTTTTTTTTTTTTTTTCTTTTCTAATTAGTGTTTGTTTTTACATTGAGTAATTTTCTTAGGGAGGAGTGGGTGACCTCGCTTATTGAGACACTTTTCACAATTTATTTATAATTTATGCCTTTATTTATAATGTGACTGAGGAGTTTGCAGGCTGATGAAATATTTGCCTCTGTTATTTTAGGCTGCATTTCTTCAGAAATGTGTCATTTTGCTTAACAGTGCAAAAATTAAACAGCTTAATAGCTGTACTAATTGAATATTTGTATTTTATTGATTAAAATTTGTGCATTATGCTGAGTTTGTATAATTCTTGGATTTTTTTTTTTTCGAAAAATTATTGCTATGTACATGCCGAGAATAACAACATGTGCAGTGCTAAATTTTTTGATGATTTTTAAGCAAAAACAGTCTGCTATGTATATGGAAAAATTAACAGAAGAAAAAATACATAAGAAAAGTGGGTACTCTTCTGTTATCAGGACCAGATTCAGAAATATATGTGTGTATGCATACATACATATGTAAGTACATGTATACAAGCATACATGAACACATACATCCATACCTTTCTGAATCCGGTTCTCATAACAGAAGAGTACTGAAAATGCTTTATTATGGACCTTTCATGTTTTTTAAATTTTATTCATTTATTGTTCTTTTATGGAATTCTTAGTGCATTATAATTTTTTTATATGTCTTTTGCTTTTTATGTATTAGTGCAACAAAAAATTAGCTGATTTTTTGGAAGGGTGTGTAAAAAGCAAAAAAGTGCACTTCTGCAGCTGAAAAAATTTTTGTGTTAAAACCTTCAAACTACTCCTGCAAATTTACAAATATTGCACTGATTCTTGTTGCCTTAACACCTCCAATTAATTATTCAGTGATGTGTTATTTTACATCAGAACAAATAGTACCTTTGCTAGTTATAAAAAATATTTACGTATGATATGTATATTCACAGTCTTGCAATTTTTCATTCAGTTTAATTTATTTTCCCAGTCTTCCTCTGGAACTGGATGACAGATATCCATCATGTTTTTCTAGGGGTGCATTTGTATTTTATTTGGGAAGGGTAGGTACAGCTTACAAAAAATTGTTTCAAGTACTTAGTTTTCTATTTTGTTCACGATGCTTCTGAAGTAAGGCACAACATTATCACTGAACCGATTAGCTGCTACATTGGTCGGGCATATCAAACTGATTGGGAAGCCAATGATTAGCTGTTATCTGCATTGCATTGTTCTCTTCCTTGTCAGAGCAACATAATAAATCCTGCTCGAAGAACACTTCAGTTCTTTGATGGTGGTAATAATTTTAAGAAATATGTTTGCTTGTTTACTTCTCTGCTAGTTATCATTTTTAAAACACATGTTAAGTTAGAATACAGCACCACTTATAGTAGAGAGAAATAACTCTCACTTGGCCACTGGTTTCAGCTAAAGCAGTATATACTAGTACTGAATGTAGTAATTACCATTAATAAAGTTGTTAATGTTTGTTTTTATACAGGCCACTCATTTAGTCTAAAATAAACGAAACACAGTATACTGGCCCTTAAGCTAGAATAGAGAATAAAATGCTAACTTTGGATCGAAAGAAATAAAACAGCACTAAAAGTGAAACTAATTTGATTAGAAAATATAGTTAAGGAATATAATGATGGTGTAAACCAGGGGTCTCCAAACTACGGCCCGCGGACAGATTTTGTCAGGCCCGCGGAGAGCTAGCATACTTGAAAACTCCTTTTAGAGAACATATTTTTTATAGCAAATTAAATTTAGTTTACTGAAGTATTCTAATTTTATGTTGAATAATTATTAATATGACATCTACATTGATATGGTCATGGGCTAACTACTCATAACATTGTTGTAGGCTTATTGTTATTGTTTTTGTGATAAGTTGGATAAAGAAACACAGAATTGTAATGAGTAAAGACATGTATAATATGCAGAAAATTTAACTTCAGTACATAATAACTAACAAATTATTGAAATGAATCCAACTAACATTTTATACATTTTAAATAAAAACATAACTTATAACAAGCATAATGACATATGAAATACTAATGAGATTTATGTAACTGAGATTTTCCACTGACAATAGTTTGTAGCTGTGGACTAATTTTACTTGTACCAATTATTAAAATAGATTTAAGATGCTCATCAGTTAATTTAGATCTGTAAACATTTTTTGTGTACTTCATTTTGGAGAAGGTCTTCTCACACAAATAAGTAGTACCAAAAACAGAAACAGCCCACGAGCAAATTTATGCAAATTATCAAATTGTGTCAGTGGAAGACTCTTATAAAATTCCAACAAAGATGAGTTTTGATATTTGTTCTTAATTATATCAATGCACTGTAGATCAATCATTTCCATTTGAAGTTCCGGGGCTAGGGTTTCAATGTCAGTATCAAAAGGATTCTGAAAAATCTTAATTTGATTCGCAATGGCATCAAAGTCCGAGAAACGAGTATCAAAATTTATTTTCAAAGCACTCAAAGTTTCGATTGCAAAATCAATAGGAAACTCAGTCTCAGTGGTGTAGCTGAATATTTCACATGTTTTAAAATGTGAAAAACATTTACTACTTCGTAGTTGTGATTGAAACAGTATCAATTTCTTCTGGAATGATTTGATATTAGTGTATAAATCAGGAAGATGCTGGTTTTCTCCTTGCAATCTCAAATTCAGTTCGTTCACATGTTTTGTCAAATCAACATAGAATGCTAACTTTCCACAGCCATGCGTTGTTTTGTAATTCAGTAAGAGGGCGATGCTTTTCATTCAAAAAATTTCGATCACTGCTCGAAATTAAAAAAAGCGCTGAAGAACTTTCCCACAACTAAGCCAACGTACGGCAGTACGATAAGGTAAGTAATTTTCTCCAATCTCTTCAATAAATTGTCGGAATTGTCGGTGATTCAGCCCAAAAGATCTATTAAATTAACAGTTGATATGACTGGTTTCAGAACTTCAGACATATCCAAACATTTTCCGCACAAGGACTGTTGATGAATGATACAATGTAAGACTAATGGTTTTGAACCACCATCATTTTCTACAGCCTTTGACACAAGAGCGACCACTCCTTTATCTTTCCCACTCATGTTTTTGCCTCCATCAGTTGTAATACATTTCAAGTTTTTCCATCGAAGGTTCTTTTGATTAATGGCCATTTCAACTCCTTTAAAATATCTGTACCAGTAGTTGTGCCATGAATACTATACATATCAAGAAGTTCTTCATGCACTTCATAGCTTTTATCTACTCCTCGAATATAAATCAACACCTGAGCAGTATCTGACACATCCGTTGACTCATCCAAGGCCAAAGAAAACCACTCAACATGTCCATTTTTTGTCGAACAGTTGAGAGGATATATTTTCAGCAATGTTTTCTACCCTTCGAGCCACAGTGTTTTGCTGACATACTGACAGTTTTTAATAAATTTACCTTTTCAGGGCATATTTCTTCGGCTACTGCAATTATGCATTCTTTTTGATCATTTCTCCATCGGTGAATGGTTTTCCACGTTTTGCAATTTCAAGAGCCACACGAAAGCTGGCACATGTTGCAGCCTCTTGTTCAGTTTTGAGTTTTGTAAATGAAGATTGCTGCGATTTCAATCCGCGTTTCATAGCTTCGAATTTTTCTGTCCGCAAACTCCCTGTATATTTTGAGTAATTTCGAAAATGTTTTGTTTCATATTTTAATCATTATAAACATTCGAAAATGTAACATTCGAAAATGTTTTGTTTCATAATGACGTTCTTTGAGAACGGCTATGCTTTCATTGCAAATCAAACATAGCGCCTTGTTACTGGACTCAATTACGAAATACTGAATGTTCCACTGATCTTTGAATTTTCTGCATTCACTATCAATTTTTCGCTTCTTTTCCATACTACTAAATCACACACAAAAGCAACAATTCAAATCAAAATACTGTTACAAAGATGTCTTAAACTTAAACACGCACAAACACGTTTTAAGGAGGTTTGCACTATTTATTCCCACAACAGTGTC